TAGTGAAAAATTTTTAGCTTGTGGTATCTTATGCTCACAGGACTTTTTCATTTATTTAAATTTTAGAAACAATCTTATTTTACGTATCTATCCCAGCTGCCCCTCCCTCCCATGCTCCCAAGCACCCCACCGATTCCCTCAACCCACACCCACCCATTTTCCAAGGATAGTGAGGCCTTCCATGGGGGATCATCAAAATCACTCACAGGAATTTTTACTCTATAATAATATCAGAACATGTATAAACTCAAAGTAGTATATGGGTTCACTGACAGCAAGGTCATGTTATGAATAATATACTCTTAAATTTTTCAGTGACTGGGTTTTTGCTATCAGATATTTCCCTGGAATTGTGACATTAAAGATTGCAATTACACATATAAAGCCTCATACATATTTTGAACCATTGATAGATATATTAGTAGGGTGCTGGTTGGCAGGCAATTAAGAAATAACTCTTTATACAAACTCGATAGGTACATGACACATTGAATATCACAATGTGAAAAAAGGAATGTGTATGACACGGTTGCTTTCTCAAGATGTGGAATAATTTGGTGACTTTCAGAGGAGGCAGGAAGGAGCAGCAATGGGTTTTCAAGAATGTATTTCACAGTTTTCCAAAACCTCCTCTTGCTACCTAATTACCAGCATTTTCCTACTGTTGATTCTAAGCATCTTTAAGAATTTTACTGAAGAAATTATCTACCCCCTCTGATTTAGTTGAGTCATTATTTTGAATATACCAGCAATCTCCAATGGTTTGAAATTATAAGATAAATCTCAAGCTTCACAAGAAAAAACAAAAATCAGTGAATTCCTGTTCCAACAAAATGCTATGTTTTTTGACAGAATTTTCTGTAGTAGCAAATTTCTTAACTCGGATTTTATAAGACCAACTTAAACATTGTTTATAGAATATATAAAATGTGCTAAAGTAGAACATTCTCTATCATACAAATTTACTCCTCTCTGTCTCTCTCTTCCCTGCTTCTCTTCTCTCTCCTACCCTCTCTCTCTTCCCTGCCTCTCTCCTCTCTCTCTCTCTCTCTTTCCTAGAGTATGAACGCTCTTTCTAGAGGCATCTATTGAGAACATGTAATACAAATACTAAGTGAAGAGTAAGAAAAGATCAATAGATACCGTAAAATAACTATTCAGGTATACGAACAAACATCACCAAATGATTTACTCAACATTTATAAACACCATTCCCATTCTAAGTGAGGCAGTTGTCTTCACATTCATCGCTAATGTATGACACTACCTTTGTACCACGCAGACTCTTGGTTGAAGTTACTTCTCACATCTGTGGTTGTATTCCAAGAAGAATCCATATGTTAATAGATTCCACCAGCAAAAAATGAATTAAAAAACATAAAAGACTTACTGTAAAATATTTCTTTGGGAAAACTATATTAATGTTCAATTTTTTGTTATTGCTGTTGTTATTTTTAGATTTAAGAGAAATATCAGATAGTGAAATTACCCACAGCTTCAGGTTGCTTGCAATAAGGAATTTTCCAAGATATAAGTTATCAGAGGACTCTCTATCTAATCACCACTCTTGACAAGACTGGGTTTTGTTCTGCTTTGTTTAGTTTTAATCACCTTAATCTCCATGGAAGCAGAGTTTCGACTTGTCTTCTTTCTCAATCATTTATGGCTGAGGGTACCAAGGACTCTCACTCCCTGCATAATGTCTGGCTGTGGGTTTCTGTATTTGTTCCTATCTGCTGTAGGAAGAAGCTTCTCTGATGGTGGCTGAGCAATGCACTGATCTATGAGTATAGAAGAATGTCATGATGACTCAATTTATTTCTATCATATTTTGTTGTTTTCAGAATAGTAGTATTTGGTTTTACCTATGTCTGTGGGCTGTCTAATCTCATGATCTTAGTCACAAGGGAATATTTCTTAAGCAAAATGGCATTTAAGATTGTTTTCAAGAACTTAAGTTCATGTAGTTTTGCTAAACAGAGATGTGGCTGAAAAGATAAAGTGGCGTTTTGAAAGTCCAATTAAGGACTGTATGTTGAAGACAATAGAAAACTGTTGAGTATCTTAGACACTAATATGTACCTTGGGTAAACAAAGATGTGGGTGCAAAAATAAATTTGTGTTTTGAATGTCAGAATAAAGACTTTACACTGAAGACAATAGAAACCTTATGAACATTTTTAAGAACCAGCATGCAATGTTTATTAAATATATAGTATTTACTATGGAGCCACCTGCTATTCTTAGCATTAAAAGTATTGACATAATTAAGTGCCCCTGCAGCCAAAATTTGTTAAGGTATTTCCACAAATAAGTGAAAAATCTGAAGTCGAGGAAGATGAATAATTTGTTCAAATTGCACAGCTAGTATCTGATAATAACAGAATTTAAATTTATGTATAACCTACATTCCATGGTCTGAAACTTTTGTGTATTAGTGTCTGTCCTTGTGAGTGTGTGTGTGTGTGTGTGTGTGTGTGTGTTTATCCAGAGACTGGAGATCAACTTCAGAGATTCTTCATTATTATATGCTCTGATTTTTTCAGACAGGGTTTTTCATTGAAAATTGGAATTTGCTGATTAGGAAAGGATGGCTGGAAAGTGATTCCTTTGCCCCCCCCCCTGCCCCTTCTCTCCAGTATGTTCCATCATATCGAGTGTCTTTATGTGCATACTAGGCATTGAATTCAAGCCCTCCTTTACAAACACTTCACTGATTTAGCTGTCTCCATGGACCCCAAAGTCTTAATGATTAGCTATGCTGTCACTTTCTCTGCTTAAACAGTATGCTTGTAGTTTGAGATAGAGGCAGGTTAGATTTAAGACAAAACCCCATTAGATACCATGTGCTACAAGATAAACAGGAGATGATTCATTATAGTGTGACTGGTAGTCTATGATGTAACCATTTTTCTAAGCCCACAAGGATTTTAGAAGGTTGCTGGTAATCCTTATAAGTATCATGAGAACCAGCGCTTGTGTTTCATGACTTTCTTAAGGCTGCTACTGGGTACATAAATTATGAACCAGTCGTTACTAATATTTTGCAAGTGAGTTCAATATTAATAGGATTATAAATAACTCAATTAATGGAAACAGTAATTTCCAAGCTTAAAACACCAGATTTAATGGGAGTTTAATAATGTATTAATTGTGGATGAACATTTGCATAGTTTAATTTCCTAGTTTCTACACTAAGATCTTTGCCCAATGAAATGAAGAACAATGTTGCAAATACATGATATAATTATAATAAATCTTTTACAAAGGAAATCAATTTACACTTGATATAGTAAGAACCCCTTAAATGCAAGCATTAAATACCACACCCTAAGTATGAATCACAATATTTTTATTATCCTTTGAATGTATTACTTTTATCTGGACTATATTTTTCAAAGAATACATATTTGAAAAGTACTTAAAATCAAGTCTTAATTATTCTTTAATAATTATTTTTGTACCACAATTACATCTTCAATCATCTTTAAATATTATGCCTTACTCCAGTGGATGTAAGTTTATTTTATTGCCCATAATATAGCTCAGAGAGTACTCTGCACTTAAAAAAATGCTTCTTGATGTCACTAGTTTAAATGTTCTACAGTGGACAATTTGGTCAATTAGTGGTGTTTGTTGTTTTATGTGTAGTTACAGTGCTCTACAGCCCTACTGATTTTTGTCATTGCCTACATTGTCAGTTTTTGTTAGTTATTCTGTATACATTCAACCAAATTTGGACTGTTCCATTTCTCCTATCAACTCTTGTGGCTTTCACAGAATTTTCTTTACTGTTAGTTTCATGTTGGACTGCTACAGCCTCTTAAAGACCATACCCTTATAGTATCTTATGAGAGCTTACTAATTGTCATGTGGTTTATCTTTTCTTATATTTGATTTCCAGGTGAGTTTCTTATAGACAACATTCAGTTGAGTCCTACTTTCATTGTCCTCTTATTTTTCTATTTTCTTACTTGCTTTTAATTCAATTTAGTACTTTTCATGGTTATGTTTTATCTTTACGATTGCCTTAGAAACTGTGCCTCATTATTTGCCCCAACACTTACTCTAGGACTCAAATGTTCATCTGTGTTTTTAATCACAGTCTACCTATTTACCTTCAAACAATATTGCTTTGGTTCACATATGTATCATAGAGAGACTCTCTTACAGCTTATTTCCATGGTTTTTCTCTGGCTATTGTGATACAATATTTTATCGTTAAAATGTTCTGCAATTTTAAGACTCTTTCTCCTTTACTTCTGAATGATTATTTAAACATTATAATAAGCATTTTATATTTATGATTTTTACTGAATTTTAATTATGTAGATCAACACTTCCATTTGTTCCCATTTTTCCTATCTTTAGATTCCCTAACTCTCCCTCTCTCTCCCTCTTTCTCTCATACACAGATGTGTATTCATCTATCTCTATATATAGAACCTTATTTATTGATCTATTTATCTGTCTATCTAATTTTTCCCTCATAGCTTCCAACTACCTTACTCTTCTTATCTCTAAACCCCACTGCTTAACTGTGCTTGACAGCCAAACTCTGTTCTTTTCTTTCACTGCCTTAAAAAACAATTTTTCTCTAGGAAGAATCTGACAAAATTCTGATTCCTTTTTTTTCAAGTGACACACATGAGCTTAAATGGTGAATGTTTTAGGTGTTTTGTCAGATTTGGCAATTAAGAGTTAAGTTTGCTTCTTGCTACAACAACACACTCAGAAATAGAATGTTGCACTTTGTTTCAAAAGGGAGCATCATATTTCAGAGAGATTGCAGAATTAATGAGGATATTATTTTAAAAGTAAGAAAATGGTACTTTTTACAACTTACAAATAACAATTTACAAGTCACAATACGTTGAGTGGAACAAAACTATTATAGGACATAATTTGTTTCATATTGTTATATTTATATCAGACAAACCAAGGAAAATGCAATCACTGAAAACCTTATCAAAGAAAAAAATAAAGTTCATTAAACTGACCTTTGTTTAAAGTCATGCTTTGCCAGCTGTGACTGAGGCTGAAGTTATAACCATTTACATTTTCAGGTAATTTATTATATTCTCAAGATTCCAAGTAACTTGAATTACTTTTACCAACTTATTCTTTCACATGAGGCATTCATATGGTAAGCATCAGGACATATTCCTTTTGTGTTCAAAGGATTCTGCAAATAACTCTTGGCCACAAAAGGACAGAGAGCTTGGGTTTTGTTTCATCTTGGACATTCTGAAGAGGACAAAAAAGAAGTTAATAATTTTTCCCACCAATGATGCAAAACTTATTCAGTTATATTAATGCAGATTTCAATATTTTTTTCCAGATAGAATAGTGCCTCTTACTTACTTGCTAGAGAGATAGTACTCTAACAGTGAGGAAAGGTCTGTGAGATAGAAAATCTTGAATGAACATTCTTTAATTCTCTAAAAATAATCTGACATTCATAAAACAGTCTTACATAGTTGTAAGTTCTCCTCCAAGATCCATGACTTCACAGCTTTGGGTATTGGCTAAGTTTTCAGTACAGGCCATTTCCCTCTTGTTGTGTGGGTCTTAAGTCCAATTATAGAGATGTTGGCTACTATCAAGATATGTATGCCACTACTGTGCCCTTAGTGGTATTTAGCTGTGCTTCTTGCTGCTGTGTTTCACAGGTATTAATACCATATTGTCAACCATGAAAACATGCATACACAGGCAACATTATACTGACTGAGCAGGTTTATATATATATATATATATATATGTATATATATATATATATATATTGTGTGTGTGTGTGTGTGTGTGTGTGTGTGTGTGTGTGTGTAACAACAGCTAAGGGAAAAAGAAGCCATGAATTAGAAAGAAAACAAGAAGCAGTATATGGAAGGATTTGGGGAGAAGAAAAGTTAGCTCATTCCTGTTTTGGTTTCAATCAAATGGAGCTGTCACTATAATACTATATTAAAATGTACTCAGTGACTAGTATATTCAAGAATCAAACTTTGAATAAAACAAGCACAAAATAGGAAAATATTCATATCAACTGAAGTTGAAATATGCATCCCATTTCTCCTATGTGGAAAAGCAAGTGACAAGTCTTACTCATGTTCAAAATATGACCTTTCAGGCCTGTAAACAGAATTGACATACTTTCTTACATTTGGCATGGTTATTATCTTCTAGAAAGGCAGATTTTTAAGACTGTATTTGTTTACAACAAGGAATTGTGAAAAATAGATGTCTAAAAAAGTTGAACAAGCTTTAACATGAACACGAGTATTTTCGTTTCTTGTTAAATTTATTTATTTATTGTATATACAGTGTTCTGTCTGCAAATATGTCTGCATGCCAGAAGAGGGCACCATATCTCATTATAGATGGCTGTGATCCACCATGTGGTTGCTGGAAATTCAACTCAGGTCCTCTGGAAGAGCAGTCAATACTCTTATCCTCTGAGCCATCTCTCTAGCTCTGAACACAAATATTTTCAACACCTGGTTTATAGATTTAAGTTTTACTAGCTTTTCTACTAGGATTTTTCATCCCTGTATGAATCTGTCACACGTTCCTTACCTGCATTGCAAAGTAAATACAAGAATCCAGTATTATCTCCTCTCAGTGCATGACTTCTTATGTGCTCTATGGGCTATATTTAAGCTCTCATGTTTGTACACACACTACAACATACATTTTAGAAAGAGTGCATCACAACATACTAGAATAAAAACAATGGTATTTCGAGCATTAATTGACCTTGGGAATCTGTGAATCACTTAAGGGTCATTCATTATCAAAATAATTATATGTTTATAGAGATTATCAGATTTTCCTTTTCTATTTTTGCTTCCGTTAGTCTTTAGTCATTCTTACAATCACGTTAGTGTTCTTGAACTGGAAAACTTTGGTGGCTTCATTCCCCTGGTCTTGGTTTCTTCACTCTGAGAAGACCAGGTTTAGCTGGATGGTCCCCAGTGGCTTTTCCAGGGTCAGCACTGCCTGTGTCTTGTCCTCTTACAGTCAGTTTTGCTGTACCACATCCTGAGGTAGAAAAGCAAATAATTGGATTGTCTTCCAAATTCTTATTCATTCAAACAAACATACAAACAAACAAAAAACTATGTTTTTACTGTATTCAGTGATAATTGGCAAGGTGGTGATTCTAGTACCAAACATTCAGCCTGGAACTCCTTCTAAGGATACATGTCTATTTACCAAAGTGTCTCAACAGTTTCAGAAAAATATTTCCCTATCTTCTGTACCTTTTGATCTATGTTTATACTCTTCTTTGTGATATTTTTGTCATAGTTGGTGGTTTCTTAAGGTTGGAAAGAATGTTTTACTTTTTGTAATAAAGGAGCAATAACCAGAGCTACATATCAATAGACTGTCTCAAAGAACAACAAACACAAAACAAACAAAAAGAAACTTAGATATTACTCCTATTAATATCCTAGGACTTGCATTATTCAAGTTAATGTTTCTGATGTCTGGGCATTTGACCATGAAAATACTCAGTGTTAGAAAAACACTAACTTGTTCAGATTTTTTGTTTCATTTTGCAACGTTCAACTCATATTTCCATTACTTTGTATTTACAAGGCCAAATTTATTTCACCAAGGGAAGTAAAGAACCATATTAGAAACACACAAGCTGTAGCCCTTTAGTGCAGATGTGTACTCCCAGGGTTTCAGTACTTCTCCTGGATAGGGCTGACTGAGAAGCTCTCATTTGCCCATTCCATACTCTGGCATGTCAATCTGTACGTTATTCATTTAGCATGACCATTTAAAATTTACTTAATAAATAAAAAATTCTTCTGAAAGCATATATAAGTTCCAAAGAATCTATTTTAGTATTTTAAAAGATTGTTTTTTAATTATAATATAATTACATCATTTCTTGCCTCCAGTCCCTCTTATATACCCTTCTTTGCTCTATTTCAAATTCATGAAATGGTTTTTTATTAGTTGTTGTTACACACATATAAGTTTTACACACACACACACACACACACATTCCTAATTTGTTTTTGCTTTACATAGTACTAAGTGATAAATCCCAGGTATTGTGAATATTGCATGCATATTCCACAACTAAACTACATTCCTAACCCTGGGTTAACACTTTTCATTTGGACACTAAATAACTTTAAAAATATGCCATATACTATCAGTGAGAAAACTCACCCTGGCAACACCTGGCACAGAGAGGAGCATTTGGCCTGCAGTTCTGTGTGAGGCTAATCAGTGCAAGAATGAGCATGCCATTTCACCTCCATGCAGGATGCAAACAAATCCATGCTACCACATCCAGCTCACTCCTGAGAAAACCTGACAAGTGTAGTAAAGGAGCCATCCCTGCCATTCAGAGCTGAAAGCTTACTGGTGACTTGGAATGACAAATATCTGCATTTGCCATTTACATTTTTATGTCAGTTACCAGCAAGAGACCTGTCAGCTGAGTAGGAAGAACAAGATAAAATCAGAATTACCACAACTACAGAACTGCATTCTTTCCTGCCTGGAGGCATAACCTTCTTATTTGGTGTTACCTCTGAGGATTTCATCTTTGAGAAATATATTTAGAGTAGAATTCTAGGCAAATGGATGCATTCACACACACACACACACACACACACACCTACACTACATATTCTTTGACTTTTCTGTGATGTTTTTGTTTTGTTTTTCCCTAAACTGAACCCATAATCCTGAATAATCTATTACTTCCAGTAGGTTAGAATAAAGTCCTAATGTCTTAATATGAGGAAGACCCCGAACAGTCTGCCATCTGCTTTCCTTTCTGTACTCAAGTGTTCCCATTCACACTTTCGCAGTTGATTAAATAGCTTCATTTCTGTCCTTTGAAGTTTGGTTCTTTCGTAGGATTTTTTTCCATTAGTTATTTGATCTGCCTCATCTTCTTAGGTGAGAGGTCATGTTTTCAAGAACTTCCCTTACCTAAAGTTGCTGTGCCTCCATACTGACTCCACACTCTCTTGAGTCATGGACCATGACACTGAGCTTGGCTTTATTTGTTTACTGGTGTGCTTATCTTGTGCCTTTACTACTAGGTAGTCAATGGTGACAACTGAATTGTGCTGAATTCTCAGTGCTGAGAGAGTTCCTATCACATGACAAATGCTCAGTAGAGATTGTTGAAGGATATTTGCTGGAAGCATCATTGATGGTGGTCTTATACCAGTGATTTCCATACAAGTCTTCACAACTGCTCATCTAGATAGCCACATAATTATTTTCAACAAAGAAGTGTTGTTAGGTAATTTTTGCAGTTGGCATCATGATGGTTCATAATTTTCATGTGACAGATTATATGCATCAAGATACACTTGATTAGGCTGTAATTTTGTTTCTGTTTCTTATGAGCTCCATGGCCTGTTAAGCCTTTGCTTGTGGGTTGAGTAGAAATAACAATGGGTTAATTCATGGGGGTATTGAAAGGAATGAGTAAACTAATGTCTCTGCTAAGGATCTAAGAAGTGGCCTCTGTGTGTGTGTGTGTGTGTGTGTGTGTGTGTGTGTGTATTAAATATCCTGTATAGATGCTTACAATTAAATAAAACTCATATAAAATATTTTATGCTCAGTGAAAGTGTTCAAGATTATTTTATTTGTGCTCTATTGACATGCTTTATTAATATATTAAGTTTGTCCATATGTCTTTCAAAATCCAGACTTTCTTTTTTTAAATAGTTCCCTTCACAAATTCTATGATTTTAGAGGTTAGATTTTTTTTTTTTGGTTTTTCGAGACAGGGTTTCTCTGTGGCTTTGGAGGCTGTCCTGGAACTAGCTCTTGTAGACCAGGCTGGCCTCGAACTCACAGAGATCCGCCTGCCTCTGCCTCCCAAGTGCTGGGATTAAAGGTGTGCGCCACCAACGCCCGGCAATTTTAGAGGTTAGATTTTTAAAATTATCATTCTTTATGTTTCTCTGTTTTATAATTAAATGACAAATTCTCAATTTTGTATGGAAAAACAAAAGACCCAGGATAGCCAAAACAACCCTGTTCAACAAGGCAACATCCGGAGGCATCACCATCCCTGACCTCAAGCTCTATTACAGAGCTATAGTCCTGAAAACAGCTTGGTATTGGCACAAAAATAGACAGGTAGACCAATGGAATCGAATTGAAAACCCGGGTATTAATCCACACACATACGAACATCTGATCTTTGACAAAGAAGCTAAAAATATACAATGGAATAAAGAAAGCATCTTCAACAAATGGTGCTGGCATAATTGGAGACTGGCATGTAGAAGAATGCGGATCGATCCATGTTTATCGCCATGCACAAAACTTAAGTCCAAATGGCTGATCGAAGAAGAGGCAGACTCCCTTGGTTAAGTACTGAGCTGAACTCAAGAAAGCCAGTAACAGAGAGGGAGGACTGATGATCAAAGGGATTAAGACTGGGCTGGTTTAACCCCCAGAAACAGCTGACCAGACAAAGGTTAACTCTTGAATCCCAGGCATCAGCCTGGGAATCCAGCATGGGACTGATCAAGACCCCCCTGAATCTGGGTGTCAGTGAGGAGGCCTAGGTAATCTATTGAGCCTTGGGCAGCAGATCAGTACCCATCCCAAGTATACACACGGACTTTGGACTCCCATAGAACAATGTGAGGTGCACTCTCACCCTGAACTCTTGGGGGAAGGGTCTAGGCCCTGCCCTATAGGAAATGACAGACTATGGACACCCCCATGGAGGGCCTCACCCTCCCTGGGGGAATGAGGGGATAACGGGGGGGGGGGTTGGGGGGCAGGCATGGGAGGAGGGGAGGGAATGGGAGAGGGACGTGGAACTGACTTGTGAAGCAACCTCGTTTCTTATCTAAATTTAAACTGGAAAATAAAATATATATATAAAAAACCTGGAACACCACCTTTTCAAATCCTAGATAGTTCCATAGAGCCACAATCCTGACTCAATGCCAGCTACCTTTCTCACACTTTTCCACTGGGTGCTGTAGAGCACGAGATCCACAAAACACGTCTTCCTTCCTATTATTCTTTAAATACCCCTTTAGTTTTTTTAAAAACCAGAATCCCACCTGAGGTTTTTGCTTCCCCTACAGCTCATGCAAGCGATAGCTTCTCTTTCAGTTTGCCCATCCTTGGGGACTGCCTGATAAGATTTCTTGATCCTGGTTTTTATTTCCAGTACATTTTCTTCTCTTTGTTGCATTTCTCACACATCCAATCATATTCTGCAATCTCCATGCCCCATGACTATGTTTTGAGAGGAGATGAGCACTCTTTCCACTTCTAGTTATCTTTGACTTGGGTTATTATAAGCATACCTAAGCTTGCCTTGCTCTCAAAGAGATTCCCTTTCTACATTCCTTCTTGAATTTATTCTTCTCTTTTCCCTCCTCTATCCCTTCCTCCTATTTTTTATTTGTTAAATAAATGACTAAATTATGTAATCACTGTTGAATTTAAATAGAATTGAGTCTATTTTCTCTACTGACAAAGAACTACCTTTACCAAACTGAACACATAACAAAGAAAGCCAAGAGAACTTGGGATAATAGTGATATAGTATTTCAAATATTATTTTCTTATGATCCTCATGTCTAAGTTAAGAAAATGATAACGTGACTAGGTAGATGGTTCAATAGTTAAAGCTCTTACCAGACAAGTGAGAAGACAAATTTAGATCCTATGTAAATGCCTTGTAGGTATGATAATTTGTGTGTAATTTTAGCTTTAAAAGACTAGAGTTTCCCCAGAACAAACTGGCTAGTGAGCCTATACGTATCAGCAAGGGAGCTTGCTTCAACAATCAAGTGGAAGAGCAAATCTTGCATATCTGTCTACCCCTTCACCTACATACATGAAAACATAAAAAAATATAATAAGGCATGTCACACACACACACACAGAGACAGACAGAGAGAGAGAGAGAGAGAGAGAGAGAGAGAGAGAGAGAGAGAGAGAGAGAGAGAGAGAGAGAGAGAGAAACTATTAAGACCTATGGTCTGGGCAACTTGAAGGAGGAGAACAAGTTC